GCGTCAGAAATGATCACTTATGTCTGGAGAGATCTTAATAATGGAACAACAGAGAGGCTTCAAACTTCCCATATGGTTAAAGCTCACTGATATCTTATGCACTAGCTGCCTTTAAGACTTTTGTTTTGTTCTAGGATGAGCTGTCATTTTTTGCCATTATTCTTTGTTCTCTTTTAGCCCAGGTTAATGACTAATGTTCTACTTCAGAGAATTCACATGGGGGCATGAGCAGAGACAAATACTTTTTAAGATGCAAGCCAGTGAAAAAAAAATAAAAACAGACCATAAGGCCATGTGGTACCAAGATCCCAGCAAGTGACCAAGGAAGTCTAGACCTCTTCCTCCTTCACATAGAAACACAGATATTTGACAGATACTCAGCTATTCCAACAAGCTCCCACTTCTGGCTTTCACATTTTCATTTCATTTTTGATGTGTTTGATCAAAATTAAACCCAAAGCTATTAGTAGCCTGTCTGAAGATTTAATGTTCCTCTCTTCTACAACTGGCATGTTTATAAGCAGTTGATTTGCTATCCATGACTCTTCCTATATTTCCCACCTGATGTGATATTCTTGTAGGCCTTAAGATTTAAGGGAAAAAATTATTACTGCTTTTCAGAATTTCCAATTCCATTCTGCTGAAGACACAGTACAGCCGGAAGTCTATTGAGAACAAATATCTCTCTCCGGGCATTCTACCTCCAAAACTAAAAACCCTCACCTTGTGTGACTGGGTATCGTTCCACTGACCTCAACTGAGCTGCACCAATTCACACCAGCTGGGGATCTAGCCCAATAATTCCTCCAGGAGCTAAGTTATCATGAACAAAGTCATAGCCCCATTGACTTCAGTGGAGCCTGGGTTCACCACATGTGTCTTCCCAGACTCATAGTTAGAAACAGGTGCATGGAGTATCTTTGCAATCCTTTTAATAATTCATCCATTTATATACATGGAATATTTGGCTTCTCCATCACTATGTTTATGCTCAGTAACTCCCAGCTTAAATGCTGAGTCTGTTTTGCATAAAATTAACTAAATTGCAGTCGTTCTCTTTCGCTGGTGCTTTTTCTTTGCTGCCTCCATGAACAATGTCAGGAAGATTGCAAGCTAACTACAATTCTCTTTCTAAAGTGAGAGGAAAACAACATCTAAGAGCTTTCCTGATATCTACTGGGAGATTTTTCTTTTTAAAACCATATTGTACTCTGGAATTTAAATTGTTTTGTTCATTTGATTCATTTTAAGGAATGAACGTAGTGGAGAAATGTTGCAATGGTTCTTTGCTGCCTACTGCTTAACACAGGGCATCCCATTATGGAATAGATTTAATAATGACCTGGAGTGGCTGGATATTTTCTATTTAAAATACTTCATCAAACTAGCAAGTTATACAAGCTTTGACAAAGTGCAAGACAGACAGTAATCTTAGCTCTCTGTTGGATGGATCTCATCATTAGACAAATACACAGATCCCAACAGGGAAGGGAAGTGTGGTCTTTCCCTGTTGTTGTAGTCCATATTTCACCTGAGCAGAGACTTGGTCACTATGGGCCAAAGACCCAAAGCCTCCAGAAGTCAATGGAAAGATTCCTACTGACTTTAACCAACTTTGCATCAGGCCTTGCACATAGCCTCTTTGAGAGATGATCCAAGGATTTGCCTGGTGATTAGGGCTTTTGGATTACATTCTCCATGAAGAATCTTCTGATCCATTCTCACTATAATCCAAAACCATTGACCACCATGCAAATGCTGGGAGTCTCTCCCAACAAGGCTGTGTTAAGACCTGGTCCAAAGCTGGCTATTGTGAAAAGGAGCTGGCGGAGAGGAGAAGGATGTATTTGGATGATTAGTTAACTGTTAGGATTACTGAGTTCCCACCAAAAAAGAGTAGAAAAGCACAGGCAATGGGGAAATGAAGAAAGGCCTTTTTGTGTCACAGACTGGCTGGGATTTTGGAGAACAAGACCCACGTATGCAAGTGCTATTAGGAACTAGAGGTTTTGCAAATTAGTGAACAAAGCTTTTCATGTATAAGTGGAAAAGCCAGAATGTATGACTTAACCTAGAGTGGCGGTAGGTGTGGCAGACCATGCAAAAAGTCTTATGGGCCTCTAGTCACACAGATTCTCTGCTTTAATATCACAACTTGATTTTTTTTTAATCCCCAAATGTTTCTCTTCTCTCTTTTGGCTCAAGCTATTGACATAAGAATAGAGCAAGTCAGCTGATTTCTAATGTCACTTCCATTTACAGATGCTCGCATTTAAATCTGCCCCTGATACATATCATGATAAGTAGCCTTATGGGAGGCTGTTGGGTTGGCTGAGGCAGGCAGTATTTCTACTGCAGCCAAAGGAAAAGGAGGGGATGTGGTTAGCCTCAATTACCTTTTAATAAAACAATTTCTGGAGATCTACCTCCCTCCACTCATGTGTGCCTGGTTTCCACTCTTCTCTGCTTATTATAGTTGAATAGCTCAAGAGATTTTGGTGGAGGTATTGGAGTCTTACTGTTATGTTTAATTGTCTCTGGTACAGTCCTTGAAAAAGTGTGTCCAAGCACTGATATCAACCAAGTGGTACCTTTGCTAGCTGGTATCAGTAAAAAAAATTAACAGGTGGCTAGACCTGTAACATGCAAAGGAACCTTGTCCTACCTTTCCTATCCCCTCTGCTGCTGCCGCCCTTGGGACCATAAAGTTCACTGCTGATTGGGGGGAATTGTGACCCCCAGAAACGAGTCTCCCATGGAACAGGTCACTGCAGAGAGGTGCGATTGTGATGTCAGAGGTAAGTGGGAAACACTACAGATGGGAGCAGGTGAGACAAACAGAAAGACACGTGACTGTATAGAGAAGAGGTTGTTTTAGATTATATGGAATTACGAGTCATATTGACTTCATTACCTACCTTTATAGATTCACCTGTTTCCTAACTGGACTTTCTCTGGTCTGTCCAAGCTAGGTAGGAGCAGAGTAGGTGTCAGAGCTCTGGCCATTCCCCCTGGCCATGCCTCCTTTGCAGGAGCACATATGTAGAAACTTGATGTAGAGCTGCCATGCTACACTGGGGTTCCTCCTATGCTGGGAGTACTTCCCTATGCCCAGATGCACCAGCTATGCAGCCCCTTTTATGCCACCAGAGAAGTTTAAAGGGGCCACTATAGAAAGGAGGATTTGGACCTCTGTATCTAAACATGTCCTATATTCATGATGAAAGCGAGTGTGATGGGGTGGACTAGGTTGTGGCCCCGGCCTCACCCCACCCCAGAAAGAGCAGAGGAGAAGTCCTCCAGGCAGCCTAGAGTGGCTGCAGGGGAGCAGCCAATCAGAGGGGCTGCTGGAGTGACCAATCGGGGGACAGAAAGCAGCAGAGGCAGAGCAGTTAGTTGCTGCCTGGAGCTCAAAGAGGAAGGACTGGGTGCCTGGCTGGCTGGAAGAGCAGCAGAACCATGGACCGGTCAGGGAGGGCAGACTGAGCCTAGAACCTAGCCAGACTGGGTGAGGATACCGTGATGGGCCTTGCTGGTCTGGTTAAAGACTGAGCCCAGGAGGGCTGCCAAAAAGAACATACCAACTGAGGGCACCGAGATGGGCCTTTTTGAGCTCTCCAGGAAGGAAGCCTTGGTGCTACGGCCCCATACCAGCACCGTGAGCAAGAACTAGAGACTGTATTCCCCAAAGGGGGGTGGGGACAGTGTGTGTGACTCAGCTGGAGGGCTGAGTCGCTGAAGACCCAATGAAAGAACCATCGGCCAGGGCGGCTCTTGCGAGAGATAGGTGCCATCCCAGTGAAAGACCAAGGCTCACACTTGACCAGAAGGGGGGGTGCTCACGGAAGGTGGGTGCTGCCCCATTCCAAACTGAGATTGCAGGCACGTATCAGCCAGAGAGGGGGCATTTGCGAGAAGTGGGTACCGATACCGTTACACGGAGTCAGAGAGCGACCTGCTTTTTTGCAGCCAGGTTACCACATTGCTTCACTCTCCATGGTACTGTACTCGGTACTCCATGGGAGGGTTAACCCATGCAGCTTAGCCAACTTCCAGTTCCAACAGTGACATTGTGTTCTTCAGCTATGTTTGCTTCTGCATTTCAGTGCATTGTTATTTACTTAAGGCCTAATCCCACTTACTTTACCTTGTCAATGCGGCTGTGACAAAGAACCTCTGAGCAATGCCATTAGCTAAGAGAGTCTTTTGTTGAGGTCAGAGAGTAACTGATTTTAACAACTGTGCCAAAAGATCCTGCTAACTTGCACAATCCACATAGGAGGAATTTGGACCAAAAAGAGGAATTCTATCACATAACAAATATAAGCAAGATCAAAATGTAATTCTGGAGCAGATGGGAATGAAGAAGAAACCTCTAGGGCATCCTATATGGAGGAACTGTCAGAACACGCTGCAAAATTTCACCAACAAATGGCACGGAGGGTGACAATTAGGAGACTTGTAGGACAGGTACTGCTCAAGGTAACTTTATTCCTAAATAGCAAGGGTCAGATATTTCAGGATCTCTGAACCTTTGCTTTATCAAGCTTCTAGTGAAAACATTCAACGTGATGGCCCAAGGCAGCACTGGAGAGGCCCTTCCCACACAGGGAAAGGAGTAGAGCTGGTAACACAGAGGAAGTGTGATGGGTTATTGCTGTGCTTGTCATTACTATTAACTTACACTCTTATTGCCTTTCACATCCAGCGGAAACCAGCTGCTTCATATTTCTTAATATTGTGAAGCAAAAGCAGACATTGCATGTTTCCTAACCCTGTGTTTTAGGGCTTGGGCTTTTTTAGTGCAGCCTCTTGTTTATAATCATCTCACTTTTGCCTTCTATAACAACATTTCTCCAGGGATCTCAAAGCATTTTTCAAACTTTAATGAAGCTTCGCAAGAGCCCTGTGGGGTAGATCAGCATTACTATCCCCACTTTACAGAAAGGGAAAGAGAGGTTAAGGAATGCATGCAAAAATACATGTGTATTTGCATGCCAAATTTGCACATTGATACCATAGTTGCACTAGCAAATCAGGTATTTGCATGTATAAATGGCCAGTTAGAGATATACCTTGCCATTTGCCCAGGTAACCAGTTTATGTACACAGCTGTACCACGCGCACAATGCATTTGTATATTTTTATACAGAATCACATTGATGTTTGTAAATCAGACCCAAGAACAGATGTTTGACATCATGTAATAAAACAGTGGCAGAACTAAGAACAGCAACCAGGAAACTAGACTCCAGCCCCTTCACTAGCTGCTAGAACACACTTTCTTTCTAGTGATTTCTACCCCTCGAGATGCTCTTTTTCATGGATATCTATGTATTGATAAGCATCATGGCATGGTTCACTGCCCAATTTTCAAACAAGCAACATGCTCCCTTCATCCACACTGAGCTAGAATTTTTGTTCTTTCGAATAGTTAAAGCAAAAACTGCGAAAGGTGCTGGTAATTCTGTGGATTCAGCAGCCCCGTTTGGTCTTTCCTGATACCAAAGGTGAATGCACCGGCTATCATTCCTCAGACCACAAATGGTTCAGAAAAAGCTCCAAATCCTCTGCATGTTTCTAGGATCTTGGATGTAGATTAAATGACAGTCCATGCAGATAAAAGAAGGGAAGGATAAAGGACTTCCAGAGACACCAGCTGTATATTCTCCCTTGGAATATGCAACTACTCAGCAAAATGCCGGCAGCAACCTCTTTTATATCAGCTCCATTGATTGTCACTTATATAACGTAGGGCCTATCATTCCCAGTCAGCTGTCATTTTACAACAACTGCATTTTTAAACCTTGAAGTATTAAGGAACAGAGTGAACAGAGAAAGGTTTCCAGGAAACCATTTCACTTCCTACTAAAATTATTTTTTTGTTTTCAAGAGCAGAACATCGCTAAACACTTACTTTGGAGCCCTTGGATTGTCGAAATCTATGCTCAGATTGTTAGAATTATGCTTGGTTGGTGTAAGTAATATGGAATGTTTACCAGAATGAAGGTAGTTACCCCCACGTACAAATTATGCACCCGATGTTTTAAACATCTGAACCTTCGTTTACTGTTTCACGAGAGCAACAACACAGGAAGCTATGTGAACTTATCACATAGCATTTTCACAGGCACATGTGTCAGTTAGGTCCAGAAAGTCGATAGGAGCTGGCCGCCTTTGAAAGTCGCCCCCAAACTCAGCATATGTTCTGTTTTACGATAGACAGGAACAATAAAAATATACCTGAATCATAAATGAAGGAAGTTAAAAAGTGAGTTGTTTTTCCCCCAACATGAATGGCAAACAATATTACACCAACAGTGTGTCTGCTTCCTTAAACATCAACGTCTTCTCCGGTATTTCAAATGTAATACTAAGGATGTTTTGGCATCCAAATTACTGGAATAAATTGCCTAGGGAGGTTATGGAATCTTCCATCATTGGAGATTTTTAAGAGCAGGTTGGACAAACACCTGTCAGGAATGGTTTAGAGATAATACTTAGTCCTGCCATGAATGCGGGGGATGGGACTAGATGACCTCTCGAGGTCCCTTCCAGTCCTATGAGTCTATGAAAACACAGGCTTTACTAATAATCCTGTTTCTAAATAGGAGTGACCTATTGTATCATTATGTCTGATCCCAGAGTGCCCTCTGCTGTGAATTTTAAGAATGATCATCTAATTCCATATCATGCCATTTCTGTTGTACAACTTTTATTAATAGGATTGAAAAAAAAAACTGGAGCTTTTCCTTGAGGTTGAAACACATTTTAAACGTGGGGGGAGGGGAAACGGTTTATAAAGTAAAACTGAGCTGATGTGGTTGCATTGGAAATTGGAAATACATCTCTCAGCTGTATAAGCTCTATTTCTCCATGCATCTCTCCACCCACCTTATATTTGTAGTGTGGTCACCCCTGGGACGGAATGAGTGTGAAAGAATGCGAAATCGGATCACCATCTTGTGTCTCCAGCACAGTAATGCTGCTTTGTTCTCGCACACTGCCTTTTACCCATAGCTTTTTAAAGCGCCTTATAAACATGGATTATTTAAACCTCACAGAGTCTTGTGAAGTAGGTAAGAATTAGTATCTCTGTTTTACAGATGGGGTGAGTATGGTAGAGAAAGGGTAAGGGCCTGATGTTTAGAGGGAATGAGCGGGCACAACAGACTCCGAAGTCGATGAAATGTGCCAGAGCTCAGTGTCTTTGAGAAATCAGACTCTAGGGGTAGGAGCCACAGAAGTGCTAAGGCCCATAACCCCCAGACTTGGGCATCTAAGTCCCAGTTTTGGGTTCCCTGTGAATCACAAAACTCCCACCAAACCCTGTAGGCACCTAAAGATGCACTGCTGCAATAAAAGACCGGCACAGCCACAGCTGGCCCAGGCTCACAGGGCTTGGGCTGTGAGGCTAGAAAATAGCAGCATAGACGTTTGGGGTTGGGCTGGAGCCCAGGCTCTGAGACCCCACAAGGGGGGAGGGTTTCAGAGTCCGGCCTCCAGCCCAAACGTCTACACTGTTATTTTATAGCCCCATAGCCTGAGTCAGCTGAGACTCGGTGTCGTAGGTTTTTTTATCGCAGTGTAGACAAACCCTCAGTGCCTACGTTTGCAATGTAAAAAGTGTCCCAGGCACCTATGTTCCTGCCTCTGAGCATGCAAACTGCTGCCTCACTTCATGCATCTGGATGACTAAGCCCCAGAGCGATCCATGAATCAGGGAAAGACAGGCATTTGGTCACCTAACTTGCGCGCAGGACCAATCCAGTAGGCTGCCTTCTGAACACACCTACCAGATCAAGCCCCGTTCAAAATCCAGAGGAGGAGGTGGGGCCAGCACCACCCACCTTGAAACTGCTAGACCAGTGGTTAGAGCACTCACCTGGGAGGTGGGAGACTCAGGTTCAACTCCTCCCTCTCTCACCTACCAGGAGGGTGCGCTAACAACTGAGCTATGTGATGTTCTGTTGTGGGGCAGGCCAGGGGCTCCCTCCATTGTTCCACTGTGGATAAATAATGAACCAGTGATTGGAGCAGGAGAACTGACCCCAGGGTAGTTCAGTATTTATCCATAGTGAACAGTCATTGGGCCAGAGAGAGAATGCCTCTGTCGCCTGCAGCAGAGGGTTCCCTAATCCTGGTACAGGGAGCCAAGGCACCGAACTTGGCTTTGTGGCTCACGTGTTGTTTCTGTGATTTACTATGTGCCTAAAAGTTAGGGTGATGATGATGCTCAGAGTTGCAATATCCCAGTCCCTTCACGGATCCCACCCCAAATAACTTGGCAAGGACATGCAATAAAATCCGTGGCAGAGCTGGGTACAAACTCTGGAGTCAACTCAAAGTCCAACACTACAGCTGCAATCCCACCCACAGAGGACCTTAGCCCTGCACAAGCATTAGTGTCTTACAGGTGCTCCTGATTCACATGTTGCTTTGAGAGCAATGATCCATAACAGTCCACCATTGTCCATCACATTTTGGATATGCTCATTTCATCTCGGCATAAAAACACCTAGATGTTGACTCTGAAATCCACTCACATGCTATTTAAATTGGAAATGTTTGTGCTTTCCCGTTAGCAAATTAAGAAAACTTTGGTTGGACACAAGGAACGGAGAATGAATCGCTTTGTGACCATTTATAAAGCGCCCCGGGTATGCATAGAGCCTACCAAGGCAGAGAGCCAGATTTTCAGAAGTGCTCGGCACTCACTGAAAACCACGGCTGTTGCCTAATCAGAAGCTGCTAGGTCTGAATCTCTTTGGTGACCCTAAAGGGCAGATTTTCAATGGGAGCTGCTGGGGGATGAGCACTTCTGAAAAGCTGCCCCTCATTTAGGTGCCTAAATGGGAGCAGAGCTCTTGAAAGATCTGGCAGTGGGCCCTTGAAAAACGGGACCCCAAAAATTAAAATGGGATTTTCTTAATGAATCCAAGTTGGGTGCCCAGCACCTCTTGAAAGTCAATGGGAGTTGCGTGTGGCATTCCCTTAGGTGCTTTTGAAAACCCACCCTCCTCCAGACCTAATTGTTTAAAAAGCTGGGGACCCAATGGCCTGTCGAATTTCCATGCACAATTATCCTGATTGCACCTGCCAGTGACCATAATTAGCCACTCACCTGCATACCTGATTTACATACAGTCATGGGAACAGAACCCCCCCATGTCTGAATAAAGCAAGCCTTAAGTGACCGGCCAGACATTACATAGAAAGTCAGCAGGAAAACGGAGTTAATAACCTAGGGTCCTAATTCCTAGCCCTCTGATACACCCACTAGACAATACTGTCACAACCTAGTGCCAACCATCAAAAAATTACCCCAACACTGAGCATTCCAAGGTGAGTTCACAGGCAGGTCTGAGGTCTCACTACTAAGTGTATTCATTAAACGGGTATGTAACAATTTTCCAGATCCCTATAACCTACAAATTAAGAGCGTGTCTGGGAGCTGTGCTGTCAAGCCTTCTGTCATCGAGGCTGCAGCATCACCAACACAAGAGCTCATTTAGTATCTGAACCACACGGATTCCCCCCCCTCCCCAATATTTAACATGTGGCTTTCTGGGAGAATTATTGACTGTCCCCTGAAACTGGCCAGCACTAAGTAAATTAGCCCACGTGTATTTTAGCACGTGACTGAGACCCCTGTGTCCTGGAATCCAACTTCTGATGTAAGCTCTGACTTGCTGAGGGTGACGTGCTGCCAGTTGCTCTCTGCTGCCACTGGAAACGGAACAGTCTGCGTTCGCTTTGCTTCTGGCCCCAGAGGCGGGCTAGGCTCACTGCACTTTGTCCCTCGTTGTCTGGGTCAGAAGTTTGTGCCCCCCAGCTAAGGAGCAGATCAATGCAGTCACATCGGCCCATGACAGTGGCAGCATGAAGAGCAGTCCTCCCCAGTGGTGTTTTAGCATGCAAATCTGCACCTGCGGAGAAGATAATGCACACTCAGAACCCAATAAGCCAGAAGAGGAGAATGCACGTCCCTTGGCATGTTCAAGGACGGTGAAAATTAAATCCTCCTTAAGAAAGGATTTTGAATAAATCACCCTTATCTAAATTAACAAATATCTACAGGCCAAATGATCTCTCTGCCTTGGTTCTGGGTAGCATCACGTCCGAGAACTGATATACACCTGTTCTGTTCAGGGCACCAGAGTCTGCCCATGCCTCATGTAGGGCACATGAAGAATTATTATTTAACCAGATTTTTTTCTGGAGCTCCTGATGGCTGATCAAACTGTTACAAGGATGATAATCAGGCCGGGAACAGCCATCTTTATCAAGGTTGGGTGTGAGAACCTTGGACCGGAAGATCATTGCTGGATCCTTTTCCTCGCCTCTTAGCAGCTCCCCAGTAAGACATGTCAGTGATGGTAAAGAAATGTCCTTCCATTAGGGGATTTGGGTGACATGAGTAAACCACTCACGCTTTGCTCTTGTGTTGCATGGATTCACAGCCTGAATAGGTACAGCTGAGGCCATGTTATAAAAACATCGGGGATGCTCTTCAGTGCCATTTGTTAATACTCTAGGTTAAACTGTATTAATGTCTCCTTAATGTCAAGAACCACATTTTCCCAACTGAATCAATGTATCATTTATAAGATTCATGACAGTAAAATGTGTAAGGCAAATGTTGAATGGTAGACACAAATTCCCGCACTTTACAGGACATGTGCAGAATCCTGCACTTAGGATGGAAGAATCCCATGCACTGCTACAGGCTGGGGACCGACTGGCTAAGCAGCAGTTCTGTAGAAAAGGATCTGGGGATTACAGTGGACGAGAAGCTGGATGAGTCAACAGTGTGCCCTTGTTGCCAAGAAGGCTAACAGCATATTGGGCTGCATTAGTAGGAGCATTGCCAGCAGACTGAGGGAAGTGATTATTCCCCTCTATTCGGCACTGGTGAGGCCACATCTGGAATACTGCATCCAGTTTTGGGCCCCCCACTACAGAAAGGATGTGGACAAATTGGAAAGAGTCCAGAGGAGGGCAACGAAAATGATTAGGGGGCTGGGGCACATGACTTACGAGGAGACGCTGAGGTAACTGGGCTTGTTTAGTCTTCAGAAAAGAAGAGTGAGGGGGGATTTGATATCAGCCTTCAACCACCTGAAGGGGGGTTCCAAAGAGGATGGAGCTAGGTTGTTCTCAGTAGTGGCAGATGACAGAACAAGGAGCAATAGTCTCAAGTTGCAGTGGGGGAGGTCTAGGTTGGATATTAGGAAAAACTATTTCACTAGGAGGGTGGTGAAGCACTGGAATGGGTTACCTAGGGAGGTGGTGGAATCTTCATCCTTCGAGGTTTTTAAGGCCCGGCTTGACAAAGCCCTGGCTGGGATGATTTAGTTGGGATTGGTGTTGCTTTGAGCGAGGTGTTGGACTAGATGACCTCCTGAGGTCTCTTCCAACCCTAATCTTCTATGATTCTATGTAGTTCCTAGCTAACTTCAGTGGTGGGGTCAAGTATTTATTGAGATTTAAAGCAATAGACTTCAGGATCTGAGCACAGCTGTTAACGATGGAGATTGCCTCACCAGAAGCAAAACAGTGATGGAGTAATACTCATGCAGTACAGATGGGAAAGTGTAGGGGTTGGATCACAGTGCACACTGGCAGCTGAAGTAGAAAGGCTGGCATACAGCCTGCAAACCCCAGTGAAGCCAATAGAAAGGATCCCATTTTTTTCCAATGCACTTTGGATCAGACTCCTAGTGTCATATGAAGATATAATAAAATACAAAAACGGTGTTTGATTGGCCCGGCTTTTGCTCAGTATGGGAACAACCTGAGACGAAACATCTGGCTTTTCAAAGCACATGGCTGAGTGTGTGATTTCCCATATATTGATTGCCTGTGGGCAAGACAAGTAAGGTTAGGTTTAGTAAGGGTGGGGGGGGGCACGACGACAGCTAAATAGTCTTGAGGAGCCAGTCAATAGCCTCGGAGTCACCAAGGTTCACCTGAAGGGGACTCCAGGGAGCCCATCACAAAAAGAGGACATGTGCAGCATCTTCCACATGCCCTACAGAGGGCTGCCCTGGTTGGTCTTATTTTCATTGTCAATTTTCATAGGACCAGCCAGATGGTGAAGTTATATATGAGTTAGATCAGGGATGGGCACATTTTTTTGGCCCGAGGGCCACAGCTGGGGATGGAAATTGTATGGCGGGCCATGAATGCTCACGAAATTGTGGGTTGGGGTGCGGGAGGGGGTGATGGCTCCAGCTGGGGATGGGGGCTCTGGAGTGGGGCCAGAAATGAAGAGTTCAGGGTGCGGGAGGGGTGTCCGGACTGGGGCAAGGGGTGGGGTGCAGGGGGGAGGGCTCCGGCTGGGGTTGCGGGCTCTGGGGTGGGGCTGGGGATGAGGGGTTTGGGGTGCAGGAGGGTGCTCTGGGCTCAGACCAAGAGGTTTGGAGGGCGGGAGGGGGGGATCAGGGCTGGGGCAGGGGGTTGGGGCATGCAGGGGGTGTGAGGGCTTTGGCAGGGGTGTGGGCTCTAGGGTGGGACTGGGACCAAGGGGTTCGGGGGGCAGGAGGGGGATCAGGGCTGGGGCAGGAGGTTGGGGCACAGGGTATCAGGGGTGCAGGCTCTGGGTGGCGCTTACCTCAAGCAGCTCCCAGAAGCAGTGGCATGTCCCTGCAGTGGCATGTCCCCACTCCAACTCCTATGTGGAGACGCAGCCAGGCAGCTCTGCGGGCTGCCCTGTGTGCAGGCGCCACCCCTGCAGCTCCCACTGGCCACAGTTCCCAGCCAATGGGAGCTGCGGCAGCGGCATTTGGGGCGAGGGCAGCATGTGGAGCCCCCCGGCTGTCCCTACGCATAGGAGCCAGAGGGGGGACATGTCACTGCTTCTGGGAGCCGCATGGAGTGGGGCAAGCCCCCTACCCCACTCCCCGGCTGGAGCGCCAGAGTGGGGCAAGCCCCAGACCCCGCTCCCCAGCGGGAGCTCGAGGGCCGAATTAAAACGTCTGAAGGGCCGGATGCGGCCCCAGGGCCATAGTTTGCCTACCCCTGGGTTAGAAGGTACAAAAACAAATCATTTCTTTAGTCTCTATAGCAGATTCTCCAAAGAAAACTAGGTGGGGAGGGGAATACCAGATTTTAAGCAAATAAGAATAACTATGTAAAGGTGCTGCAGACTGCAAACTTAACAGGTCCCAGCTGGTCACATGGCTGCTCCAGGCAGAGTATAAAAGGGAGGAGAAGGGTGTGTCTCTCCCCCTGGCTGGCAGCCAGCAGGGGAAATCTCTGGGGGTTATTGCCTAGTGGTTTTCAGTTGGTTTGCTTTTGTGTGTGACCAAGCAGGCCCTGAGGACAGGCCTTCAACGAATAATTCTGGGTGCTTTTTCCCCCTTCCCTGGCTGGTGAAGCCACCCAAGAGCTGAAAGTGACTACAGGTGCTATGGGAATAAATATGACAAATAACGACGAAATTCAGTGGCTGAAGCTGAAGTCAGAAAAATCCAAATTGGAAATGAGATGCCCATTTTTAACCGTGAAGGTCTTGAACTATAGGAACAGTTTACCAAGGGCTGGGGTGGATTCTTCCTCCCACTGAATGCCTTTCGAAAAGTTGACTTGCGCTTGAACTAAAGCGGGCATTTGGCTCGATTCAGGAATCACTGGGGAAAATTCTACCCCTGCCTTATGCAGGAAATCAGTCCAGATGATCATAAGGGCCCCTTAAAAATGAATGAATATTACCATTTTCCAGGAGAAATTCTACAGCTGGAATGTGGCCTCTGTGGCTGGCAACGTACAATGCCACAAATGCTCGGTGCGCGATCCATTCCCTTTTCTCTTCTGGTCTCAGTAACTGTGAATTTGGAGTGTTGCATGTGGATCCCTTTGTAACTCCTAAACTTATTAGCTGGAAAATAAATGAAAACATCACACAAATGCTGACCGATTATTCAATCAATCAATTCCAATATTAAAGGTGTGTAGATACCTATAAAGACTCAAACTACAGGGTCTTACATTCTAAACTTAAAGTGACCCTTGTGCATTGGAACCAGGAAAAAAAAAGTCTAGAAGACTTTGGGTCTTCAGATCTTCTGGTAGGTGGAATTATAATTACAGCTGATCAGAAAAGATTTCTCCTCCGTAGAGGAGCGGATTCACCCCTGCAGCGCCTCCTGCTGGTGACTTCCAGGAATTACCTCGTTCCAGCTCTGGAGCACCCTCTGCAGGCCGGTGATCCGCCTGTCCTCTGGCCCCCGTGTCCTTCCCTGGATCCCGGTGCCCTGTTAGCTGGGGTGCTGCCCCCTGGCAGTAACCCCTTTCTCTCAGGTTCTCCCCTCCCCAGGAAACCCCCACCCACTATCCCCACCTCGCCTCAGTATAAGGCTACTGCCAGTCATCATCTAGCCCCCACGCCCTGGGGCAGACTGCAGTATCAGCCTACTCATCGCTGGCAAGGTTGGGTTTGTACCTGCTGCCTTTGCCTACCCCTGGGCTGCCCTCTGCAACCCCCAGTTACCTGTTGGCCTTATGCTAGGCCGCAGCGTGGGGCTTTCCAGGCTGGAGCTCCCCGGCTCCTCTGCCTTTCTCCAGCCCTGCTCCATTCAGGTACGCTGTCTCTAGCTCCCGGCAGCCAGGCCCTTCTCTCTCTGAATGCAGAGAGAGACTCTTGAGCGCCAGCTCCCAGCCCAGCTGCGGCCGCTTCCCCAATCAGCCGAGGCTTGCTGCTTTCCTAGCAGCAGCCCTCTCACAGTCTCAGCCCTCTCCCAGGGCTGATTTCAAGCCCTTCAGGGCAGAAGCGGGTGTCCACCCCACTACACCCTCCCATCCACCTCCACCGAACACTTTAGAGTTTTTGATGAAAAATCAAAAGCCAAAATATTTCAATTCTGAAAAGCTGCCATGGTGCCTCATGGGAGTTGTAGTTTAGGTGTCTCATGCTCAATAGGCTGGATTGCCTGGTCAGATTATATCTCCAATGAGGCACCATCGTCATTCCTCTTGGTGAAGGGAGGTAACGTATCATGGCACTCTCAGGGTCGTTTAGTTGAAAATCCAATTTTTGGGCGAAAAAAAGTTTTTACAGGAATTTTTTTGACCAGCTAAAAGTATAATGCATAAAATAATACACTGCATGTTTCATCTCAGAAGACACCATAGCATTTGTGACCCACTCCTATGTTGCCTGCCCAGCCAATACAGGATTGGTAGGAATTTTGGGTGCACACGGAACATAGAATCAGGCCTTCAAACTGACATATACACTATAACCAATTTCAGTTTACCTAACAGTGAAATACAGCCACCTCTGGCTCAAAACATAGCAGCTACTTACCAGTGCATTGCTACATTACACAACAGTGTAAAACAGGAAGTGAAGAACACCTCTGTATCCATGTCAAACAGTTGTGGAAATGTAGATGAGCACAATGTAATTAGCCAAGTTGGAATTTAGCCAAGACAACTGGGTAAAGAGCCCTCCTAACATGCCATGGGATATTTCATAACCACAGCTAGTCAGGACCTTGAATTTACAGCACATTACCCTCTAATTCAGACCCTGGTTCAGTACTAATTCCAGAGAGAAGAATGCCATCTTCTGAATCACTGAAGACTGTGTTCCACAGAGATCTCCCCTCTCAGAACTGACCCAGCCAAAGCCTACTTAGCTAGTCAAAGATCACAGCTCAAGATAGTATGGCTGCAGACCAATGGAACTCCCAGGAACTGTGGAGAAGATGCAGATTTTGCTACAATAGTCCCTCCCTTCCGTTGATTTTGGAAGCTTCATGAGCTTTGAAGGAGTCCTTAGCCTATGGTCCTTACTCAGGAGTCAGTGGATAAAGGACCACGTGAGATGGGTTATATTCACAGCTCTGCCATTGACTCACATGACTTTGGGCAACTCACATATCCTGTGTGCCTCAGTTTCCCTAGCTATAACTGTGATAATAAAGGTTTACTCACCTTTTTAAAACACTTGGAGACATATGGATGAAAAGTGCTATGTAAATACCAAGTATTATTATTCTTGGCACCCACAGGAAAAGCATGGTGATAAAAAGTGTCAGAAGAGAAGAGATATTTAAAATAGTGGCAATTTGCAATGAGAATAATAAAGACTCTCCCATGTGGTCGTATATTGATCAAACAGTAGTATGACTGTGCGCAGGAAAAAGAATTGGGAAATACCACTACCAAAAATAAAGCCAAATTGTAGTGGCGACAGAAGGAAGTCCACTACAACTAAGGCCATAGCTAACCAAAACAAGCGGGCTGGCTGCTAAAGTGAACCAACTGCATCAAAGATCTTCTCCCCTTAACTTCTTCCCTCCTTCCCAAAGCTGTTCATCCTCTTTGGATTCCCAGTTGTCCATAAACTTCCCTCAGAAATGGATGGACATATTGAAGTCCTGGAGTATTCCTGTGGTCAACCTTTCATTGGGTTTTGACCTAGAACCCCATAGATAGCCTCCCCACTATTTGCTGCTCTCTGAAGATATTCATCTAGTACATGAATCTTTTCACAATCCCCCTTTTAGAGCGTTTGCACAAAGCAGACCTATCGTTTACAAAAGCAATGGAATCAACCTGGGTAATATCTCCTTCAGCAGCAGCTGCCACAAGAAGCCCCCAGCCATCTTGTCGCCAGATGCGTATAGTAATTGTTCCGCCAGGGACAATATCATTGTACTTAAACGTAGACTCATCTGGCAGATCTACTGGAGGGAATGAAAAACAAGAAGTCAAGACAGCATTTGCAAAGACCTGGGTTATTAAGAGAGAAATGAATATGCACATCAACTGAAGAGATTCCCTCGCTACGAGACCATTAGATGGTGGATATCATCCATTTGAAAAGCTCTTGGTTTTTCTCTAGTAAACTGAACATTGAACTGGCTTTGCAGTTTGCTCATTTATTGTTTTGAGAACTAGGTCGCAAAAGCACCCAGATGCACCAGCCAGGATCAAAGCCCTATTGTGCTAGTGCTGTGCAAACACAAACACAAACACAGGCTTCCTGCCTGGAATAGTTTATAATCTAAAGCCCTGATTCTGCAAAAAGCTCCATGTGAGTAGACCCATTTCAACCCAGAGCTCATTGAAGGATCAGGGCCTAAGACGGCATGTAACATATGAAAGGTGGAATGGTGGGGGGAGGGTAAGAGGTAAAGAGGGATACAGTCAAAATATATACAGAGCATGTGTGTGTCACACACAACTGTTTGCTTTTTATTCTAAAAACAAAGGGGGCGGGGAGAGAAGGAGCTGTTTGTTTTGAAATGAGTGTTAAGGTATAGGTGGGTTTTGAGGAGGGGATCCCTGACAAACATTTGTATAAACTCTCCAAAAATATGAAGTCGTGAAGCAAAAGTAACTCTGGACAGTTATCACTGGGTTCTAAAGAGCAGCAGGGAAACTGACCAGAAATCTTGTTAGTTTCACGGTGCTGCAGCTTGGCAAAGCTCTGAGCTGCCTTTCTGCAGGCTCAAGAAGAGGGTCTTGCTTCAGTTCGCACTCTGTTCACACTGGAAGGGTTTCACCAAAGCCTTAAGCACTAGCAGAGCCGGCTCTGGCTTTTTGGTCGCCCCAAGCAAAAAAAAACAAAAAAAAAACGGGGCGGCCAGAACGGCAAAGCAAAAAAAAACCCACAGTGATCTGTGCGCCGGAGCGCAGGTGCAGGGGGACCGGCTAGCGGAGGGGCGGGGGAGGAGAGAGAGAGAGAAGGGGGCGGCCAGGGCTACAGCGGGGTGCTGCCATGCGGCCCCTCCCGCCACGCCGCCTGCCGGGAGGGCTCCGCTCCGGTCGGCAGGGAGGGAAGGACAAGGACTGCCCTGCCGGGCTTGCTGCAGGGCGCTCCCGTCCTCCATGCCGCCGCCCCCTACAGGGCGACCGGAGCAGAACAACAACAAAAAATAAGCAGCGGCCGTGCTGCCCTAGGATTGGGCGGAACGCCGTCTCGTTCAATCTGCCGCCCCAAGCACCAGCTTGCTCGGCTGGTGCCTGGAGCCGGCCCTGAGCACTAGGCAATTAAAAAAAATAGTGAAAGGTTAAATTCTGCCAAAATTGAGAGCTCAGCCCTGGCATCCATTAGGGAAAGCTCCCAAGCAGCTATGGGTGAGTGGGGTTTCCAAGCCCTGCAGGGCATCCCAGGGCTGGAGGAGAGAATGCTAAAGATTGAAGCAAGAGATGGGTTCCCGGAATGGAGTAGAAAAAAGGAAAGAAGGTCTCGGATCTTCATCCAGGTACTAATGTCACTGGAATTGACCGGGGTGGCCCCTGACCTTAAAGCAGGTACTGGGGACACCAGATGTGGCAAGGAACCCAGACTGTTAACCCCCAGGATGTTAGAAGTCCCCACCTTCATCCAGGTACTGGAGGCGTTGGAAATGCAGGGGGATGCCAGTCAGCAGCTCCAGATGGTGCTTCAGCTTCAACACAGTCAAGTCGCTGTAGCACCCGGCTAACGGGAAAGTCTCACTAGTTTCAGCCAGGTGGAGTGTGATGCTGAAGAGCCGGTGGGGCAAACTGCTGCTCGGGACCACTTCGTGGCTCTTTCCCCGCTTGGAGCGGGGGTTGAACCAAAACATAGTACCACCTAAGGGTTGGGGTTGGACCTGGTGGTGGCCACTCCCTCCTCCTGCCAATGGGCTGTTGCTATTAAACACCCTCCAGGTGACGTTACCTGGGCAGCATTAGCATGTCAGAATACATCTGGGCAGCATGAAGGACGTGGCTCAGATGTACACCATACATGTGACATAATAGCTAGCTAGGCAGCTTAAGTATGATGTCATGTTGCAATCACAGTGGCATGGGTGTGTCATCATAGCTCCTCTGAACATATGTTCCATCAGGGCACATGCAGTGTGATTAAAGGGGGGCCTGTTTGCTCAGTCTCACCCCCCCAACTTTCACCGAGGATGACAAGAGCTTTTAGTTGGCTGGAGGGCAGCCAGGGAAGGGGAGAGGGAGCGAGCCTGCTGGGAGCAGTAACTCAGCCAACTCGGTTCCTTCTTTCTGTACTCAGATGCTCACTGGGGAGCAGGGTGAAGGCTGCATCTAAGGGTACGTCTACACTGGCAAGTTTCTGCGCCACAAGTCATACCACTTTTATTAAACCACTGGAATTAAACCACTGTTGCGTGTCCACACTGTGCTCCTTGTGATGCTGGAGCGCATCCACATTAGCAGCTCTTGCAACAGCAAAGACAGCAGTGCATTGTGGTAGCTATCCCATGGTGCAACTGGCCGCAGGGTGCTTTGGGAAGGGTTTGCAATGCCTCATGGGGCAGGCACAGCATCACATGATGCAGCTTTCCCAATCCCATTGGCCCATGGGCATCCTACGACATTGCCAGCTGCTTTTCAACTGAAGTGGGGGGTGGGGGAAAGTGTGTGACAGGGAGAGTGTGTGCATGTATAGGGGGGAGAGAGTGTGTTTTGGGGGACAGAGTGTGTCAGCATGTTCAGACAGCAGCAGGAAGCAATCAGTACTGAGGCAGGGGGGACCCCACCATCAGCCCCCACCTCCCTCGCTGGGCTCTTGGCACAGCAACTGCTCTCTCTCTCTCTCTCTCTCTCTCTCACACACACACACACACAC